TCATCAGCATCTTATAGCTTTCAGAGTACAGGTCTTTTGCCTTCTTAGGTAGGTTTATTCCTAGGTATTTTATTCTTTTTCATGCGATGGTAAATGGGATTGTTTCCTTTATATACATACTACTATATATAAAATAGATGACCAACAAGGGCCTCCTGTATAGCACTGGGATCTATACTCAAAATCTTGCAATAACCTAAAATGGAAAAGAATCTAAAAAAGAAAAAATATATATATATACACATACATCTGAATCACTTTGCTATACACCTGAAACTAACACAACATTGTAAATCAACTATATTTTAATAAAAAAAATTTTTTTAAACACCCAGTTCAAATACCACCTCTTCTTTAAAGTCTTTGCCAGCCTTTAGCTAAACAAGGGCAACCAACCATTCCTGTTTGCACCTGTTGTCCTGGAGTAATTACTGAAAGCAGCACACTGACTTCCCCAGGGCCCTGCTGTGGATGATAAATTATATGGCCCTCCTACCTAAAATCTACCCTGACCCAAAGACAGCACTCGTTACTTGTGTAACTGTGTCTTTTGCTAGAGCGTGTGTTCCTCAAGAGCAATCAAGCCATCTTATCTCAGTATGGACTTCCAGCACCTTAAGACTGCGGCACCTGGGGAGGTGCTCAATGAACACTGATGGAATGAAAGAATGAATCTGATACGAAGAAAACTGTAGCAATCAGTTTTATCTAAACTTCATCTAAAACGCCAGTGGGGAAAATTTCTAAATGAGAATTAGATCCAAAAAGTCCTGGGCCAAAAATTCAGGCCATGAAAGCATCTGTCACATGAACCATTTCTTTCCCTAATCCAGTGTTTCTCAACTTTTTTTCAATATTGTCCTCCTGCCCCAGGAGCCTTTTTAGACATTTTTTTCCCTAACCACATCCCCCATGAAATGTTAATAGCACAAAGATATATCTGTACTTTATACATAAAAGAGCAAGTATAAAGTTTATTCTTCTTATATAATAATGGGTTCAGAATGGCAATAAAAATGTTAAGTCATGTTTTAAAATTTAAAGCTATTAACATTAAACTTTGTATTTGCTGAGTAACTTTTAATGTAATTTTAATGTAAAAATGTGATGTATCAAATTATACATAAAAATTACCAATTTCTACATAATAATAGCAATGTAACCAAATTTTTCAAACTTTCAAAACTGCTATTTTTCCAGAAAAGGTAAAACAATTGAAAACAAAATCTTCTTAAAAGTTATTTTTCATGAACTTAACTCTTGTTTTATATGAGAAAATAATTATTAACTTATCCAGCTGCTACATATTCATTCAGATATCATCAATAGTTTCTCTTTTCAATACTTGGCATAGTTATTAGTGGGTTGAATAATTCTAATAGGATTAAAGAATAAAATATAAAGTACTTTTATTTAATTTTCAAATCCCAAGTCACACACAAAGCAGTGTGGGTCGAACATAAGCACTTAACATCCACAAGGCAGCCAAAGGCAGCCCTAATGGATAAGGAAGTCACCAACAGAGATATGGCTTCAGGATGAAGCTATTGATGGACAGAAAGTTCTCCAGTCATAGCCATCTAGTTGCCATAGGTTTGTAGTAATGACCCTGCATACATTGTGTATATCTTCCATGAACTCAATGTCAATGTTGCTTGTGTAATACCCAAGAAAAACCAATGAGAGAAATTTAAATGTTAAGAAGTAAGATTTTGCCCACCAAGCTTTGAAGGGCCACAAACCACTGGAACATCTGAGAAGTTTCTGCCTCCCTCCAGAACCACTTTTTGCCACCCCTGAGGCTGCAAGCCCTAACCTCTGTGTTCCCACGTTTATCCTCCTAGCACCTAGAGAAAAAAACACACCAGTTTACCTAAGAAAACACCCCATCCCACAACGATAATAAGGGCCCCTCTACTACCATCATCTCCTTGGGTACTTTTAAAGAAAAGGGATTCCCACACTATTAGCCTTTCTCCCAAACAAAGGAGCCCCCCACCTCTAAAAGTGTAGACTTTTGGAGCTGGAAGAACACTCAGGGCTCATAGAGCCCCTCCATCTTCAGATGAGGAAACTTAAAAGAGCCCTAAGAGGTAGAGAGACTGGCTCAATCAAGGTCACTATATTGTTATAGACAGAGACCTTGTCAGCCTGGGTCACTGTTGTATCTCCAAGCTAGGACCAGGCTTGGCACATAACACAGTCAGATGTTTGCACACTTAATGAATGAATGGCTATTGGGCAAATTAGTGACTGAGCTGAGAGCCCAGTTCACCTAATTCCTAACCTACCACTTTTCCAACTACACCAATTTGTCCCTTTTTACTTTCCCAGCATATGAAATAGTGGCCTCAAAGACTATCAAATTTATATTGTTTGAAAAACTTCCCAGCTCTTTTAGTTTCACACATCCAGAAAGCTGAAGAGCAGGGTCTTGTGCGCTTGTGGTAGAGTGCTTCAGCCCACTGAAAGTGAGGGACTTTCCACAAATAAGTCAAGGGTACCCGGTTGACAATGCATCACTTCTTACTTGTTTACCCTGTCTTGATCACTTTTCTAGAGTTCGTGTTCACGTGCCATATCTCCATACCCAGACTGAGAACCGTAGACAGCCAAAACTGCCTTCCGTTTCTAAGACACCTACTAAGTTTAAGCACGAAGCAAATGTTCAATAAATGTTTGCAAAATTTATTCCAATGGAAATGGTGCACCATGAGGAACAAAAGTGGATTTGGCATGAACAAAAAAAGTCTGATTGTACTTTGCTCATTTCCTAGGACCAGTAGAGTACCTAACATGTAATGGGAGCCTAACAGTTACTGAATTTTAAAAAACAAATGAAAGATATGGCAAAAACTGAGATGTTATTAAGCACAGTCTTCATTCATTCAATAAATTCATTGAATTTATTCATTCAATAAATATGTATTACCAAGTATCTGTGTGCCAGGCTCTCTGCTGCTCTAAAACCTAATTTCCCCCACAGAGCCAGAGCCCTCCTCCCTAGCAAACGCATGGCATTAGGTTCACCTTGCAGGCTGTGGGCACAGCTAGGGTAGCCATGTCTCAATATGCCCAAGACAGTCCCAGTTTACACCTACTGTCCAAGTGTTCTCTCCCAACAATGCCCTGGTCTAGACAATTATATCACCCTAAGTGTAGCAAATCTTTTTCAACAAGAAGCCCAGGGATTCAAAAATTTCACTCCACATTTACTAGCTACTCCCAGTCCCTTTTTTTTGGCTGTGCCATGCAGCATGTGGGATCTTAGTTCCCCAACCAGGGATCGAACGCATGCCCCCTGCAGTGGAAGGGCAGAGTTCTAACCACTGGACTGCCAGGGAATTCCCTACTCCCAGTCTTGTTTCCTTATTTCTAATACAGGCATAACACATTAAACTAAATGGTTATAAATAGAAAAGTGACTGGGGACAAGGCTGGGACATCAGATTGAGACTACACTGTAGAGAGCCTTGCATGCCAAGAACACGGATACATAATTTAATATACAGCAGGGAGCGATAAAAACCTTTAAGGGATAAAATGAATGTATAGTCAAACCACTATGAGTGTTATGATGTTGGTTACAGAAAAGATCTAAGACAGGAGGAATGAAAAACGCCGGCTCCAGGTCGTACCAAAAAGACAGCCTAAAGCTGTAAATAAAGAAAGGTTGTCACAGATGAAAACGGCAACAAATATGCTATTTCATCATTTGCCTTTATGTGTAATTTTAAAGTTTCAACAATAGATGCAGCTGTGCAAGCTCTAGTTCATTGATCTGTGGTCCTGACACCCTCCTTGGAAGGAAGTAAGGAAGCTTCTGGACAGTCAGGCTTGCCCTCCTGTCGGCCAGTCGTGTAAAGGAGCTGGAGCTCGGTTTTTGTTTTATTTTAAGTGCTACATTTCAAACATAGCATTCGTTGTCAAAAGAGTTTCCCGACACTGAAAGAGATGGACAGGAAGCTTAACCCGCCAACTCCAGATCTTCCACTACTGCATCATTTGAAACTAAGCCTCCTCAGGCAGCGACTTGTAAAATTCAAGTCAGGTAAAATGGCAGCAGCAGCCGCTGTGGGTGCTGCTCCTGCGGCCGCCGCCGCTGGCCTCAACTTCAAGCGCCGGAGAGCGCGTCTCTCCGGAGCTGCCAACTGCTCAAAGGAACAGTCGATAAATCAACAGGTCCTGCTCGCCCGCCCGAGGGTGCTCAGACCCGGGCGCGCCAGCCACAGAAGGAAGTGGCTAATTATTTAAAGACAGTCGAGACCACTAGAGGCCGGAGTCGGCTCTCCAAGCGCCTTCCCTCCGTCCACCACCCACACTGGGAACCTGCTGGGAAGAGGCCCGGGCCCCGTACACGGAGGGGAAAGCACCAATTCCTGGGCTGCTGCTCCAGGTCCCTAGCCTTCCAGCCCCTGGGCAGCCCTGCACTGCCCGCGGGTGCAGACACCCCGAGGGCTCCTTTTTCCTCCGGCTGTCCCCCTCCTCTCATCGATTGCAAGCCTTTCTGTTCTGCCACCGGAAACTTCCAGAGAAGGTGAGATTCCCAGGTCAAGAGACGATTCTACAAACTCTAAAGGGCCAATGTCGGGACTTCAGAGTCAGACCTCATAAAGCCTAGGCGTCCCTGATGAGGCTCAGTACTGCTCTGTACTGCGGGTCCTGCGCTCCCGCGCGTTCGCACTCATCCACCCGCTGGCCGGACGTGGTGTCCTCCGATCCGCAAGAGTCCACGCTGCCGGCGCCCGCAACTTCAGCAGCGCCTCCGCTCCGAGAGCCGCAGAGACCACTCCTCGCTCCAGCGAGGACAGACCTCCCAAGGCCTCGTGTCCCCAGCCGCAACCCCTGTCCCTTCCCCCGGGCGGGAGGCTGCAGGTCCCAGACAGGGAACCAAGGAGGCGGAACCTTGACCGTCCCTGCCGGACTCGCTCAACCCTGCCGAGCTCGCTCATTCCTCCCGGGCTCAAGGGGCAGTGCCCACACTCCCCACCAGCCAGTACCTCGTCCGCTTCCAACTCTGCTCCGTTGCCTACGAGCGCCATGTTCCTCCTCCGGCTGCCGCCGCCCAGAAACCAAACAGGGAGCTCAGAGCCAACTCAGTTTCTCGGCTCCGGGCTCAGCCCAGCGCTAGCAAAGGAGGAAGAGGATGGCCCCGCGCTCCCGCCGGGTCCCGGGCGGGGCCAGCGCGCAGCTGGGCGTGTGCTTTCCCCGCCCCCGGCGCCCGCACACCAGAAGAGCATCCATTTCCCGAGCCGGCGCCGGGTGGCGGGCCTCTACACAAGCTCCGCCCCCTGCAGGCCTCGCCCCGCCCTCCACGCGGCTCTGACTAGAGCAGCCAATCAGATTCCCCAACGCTTTTCCGCCTCCAGACGGCATCCACTTAGGATCCACATGGGAGGGGTCATTGCGTGGGCGGAGTCACCTCGTGGGCGGAGTCACTGGCGAAGTTCGCTGGTCCGGCCCACTCTCTGGAAAGGCACCTGAGAGTACCAGCTACCAGTACTCTGTGGGGAGGCCTGGAGCCAAGAGAGCGCTGGGTTAACGAGGCCAACCAAGGTCAAAGCCACCTAACCCTGATGCCCCTTTGAACCGTCCACCTGGTCTCTGGGCCAGTGCCAGTCCCCTTCCCTCGCCAGGTGTGCACTGCATCTCGCAGATGGTGAGGCCAGAGAGCAGCCTTGAGTCAAGGTCACAAGTCACCCAAAGGTCTCTGTCATTCCACCTGTCCAGACACTAAGTCAGGGACATCATCTTCAGATACAGGAATGCTGTGTTTGCTTTTGTGTATGGTTGAAAAATAACAGAAAAACCACAGGACATATATTTATACAACTTAGAGCTCCTCTACCCCTCCTCCCAATATTCTGTCACGATGACCCATTTTGTAACCCCAAACATATGTGCATAATTCGTGCTTGAACTATAAGATCCATGAGGGTGCGGATGCTTTTTGTCTTCTTCAAAACTGTATCCCCAGCACCTAGAACAGTGCCTTACACGTGGTAGATGCTCAACAAATATTTGTTGGCTTCGTTTAGAAATTGATTCCTGCGTATAACATGTAAGGTAACTGAACTATCCAACTGAAAAATTATAAGGGTATTTGGTGTGGGGGGGGTTGGTCAGCTTTATTTTACATACGATAAAATTCACCAAGTTTAAGTTTGTAATTTGATAACAGATGTTTACAAAACACCATTCCAATCATGAAAACACACCCAAAAAGTTCCCTGTGCTTCTTTGCTGTCAATTTCCTTCCCCCACTCCCTGGCCTCTGGCAACCACTGATCTGCCTGATCTGCTTTCTGTCACTCTCATTTTTTTTTTTTTTTTCTTTACTCGGGCCTCTCACTGTTGTGCCCAGCCACTCCGGGGCATGTGGGATCTTCCCGGACCGGACCGGGGCACGAACCCATGTCCCCTGCATCAACAGGCGGACTCTCGACCACTGCGCCACCAGGGAAGCCCTGTCACTCTCATTTTGCCTTTTCTAGAATTTCATATAAATTCTATCACAGAGCACATGATCTTTTGTGTCTGGCTCATGAAGGGCTATTTAATGGTCATCCAGTGACAATTATAAAAATTGCTAACATTTATTGAGTACTTATTATGTGCCAGGATTATGCTGGGCCCCTTGCATAAATTATCTCCTTTACCCTTCATAACCCCATGAAGTAGGTGCTGTTAACTTACAGATGAGTGAAATGAGGGTCAGAGAGTTTAAGTAACTTGTTTGAGGTCAGACAGCTATTACGGAAGTAGGGATGCCAGAATCTGGACTTCAGCAATCTGACCTTAAGGCGTGGTGGCAACCATTGTTCTGCACTGCCTCCAGCCACCACCTTCCCTTTCTTTCTCCCTATTTGTTTCAGTAGATCAGCTGCCTGCACATGTCTATTACACATACTTTCAGTGAGTCACCTTAGCATCCTTGAAACTTGCTCTACAATTTTAATGTGTCACTATGTACCTTTATACTAGAAAAATAAAATGGCTTCTACCCCACAAACAACATGGAAAAAAATGGATTAGATTATGGTGACGATTGCACAACTCTATGATTTACTACAAATCCTTGAAGTGTATAATTATAATGGGTGAGTTTTATGGTCATGTATATTATATTTCAATAATGCCACTTTTAAAAACAGGTTAACACATTCTTTCAGCACTCTTAGAATCAGATATGTGGAGCTAGAAAGGACCTAGGGGTCATTTAATTCCAATACACCTGAAAGTTTCCATTCCTCCCCCAACCTCCTGTTTATGCTTAGCTTTCTGAGGCTGGATTTCCTGTCTGGATCCAGATTCCACTCTGTATTGCTCATGCATGATTCTGTTTTTTAAAGTTCTAAAATTTAGTTGGCTCCTAAATTAATATCATATTATTTGACATTAAACCATCCTGTGGTGGCTTCTTCCTCTCTTGTATGCTTTATTATTGTCTTTCAAATTTCAACTCCTCAAATTTTGAAGAGGTACAAAAGAACTTGGCACTAATTAGTGGCATGATTATGTTATAGTGAGCACAGCCTCCGGATGCGCAGGCCCAGCAGCCATGGCTCACGGGCCTAGCCGCTCCAGGGCATGTGGGATCTTCCCGGACCGGGGCACGAACCCGTGTCCCCTGCATGGGCAGGCGGACTCTCAACCACTGTGCCACCAGGGAAGCCCCCAGAAATCATTCTTATAGATAAAAGTTGGTAATTTTTTTTTCAATGACAAATCAAATCTGAAGCCCCGTATACTTTAATGACGATTAACTTTATTTATTTTGGGCTGCATTGGGTCTTCACTGCTGCACACAGTCTTTCTCTAGTTGCGGTGAGCAAGGGCTACTCTCCGTTGTGGTACACAGGCTTCTCATTGCGGTGGCTTCTCTTGCTGCAGAGCACAGGCTCTAGGCATGCGGGCTTCAGTAGTTGTGGTGCGCGGGCTCAGTAGTTGTGGCTCACAGGCTTAGTTGCTCCATGGCATGTAGGATCTTCCCAGACCAGGGATCGAACCCTAGTCCCCTGCCTTCGCAGGCGGGTTCTTAACCACTGCGCCACCAGGGAAGTCCTGCCCTGTGTACTTTTTTTTTTTAACATCTTTATTGGAGTATAATTGCTTTACAATAGTGTATTAGTTTCTGCTTTAAAACAAAGTGAATCAGCTATACATATACATATATCCCCATATCTCCTCCCTCTTGCATCTCCTTCCCACCCTCCTTATCCCACCCTTCTAGGTGGTCACAAAGCACCCAGCTGAACTCCCTGTGCTATGCGGCTGCTTCCCACTAGCTATCTATTTTACATTTGGTAGTGTATATATGTCCATGCCATTCTCTCACTTCGTCCCAGTTTACCCTTCCCCCTGCCCGTATCCTCAAGTTCATCCTCTACATCTGCATCTTTATTCCTGTCCTGTCCCTAGGTTCTTCAGACATTTTTTTTTTTTTAGATTCCATGTATATGTGTTAGCATATGGTATTTGTTTTTCTCTTTCTGACCTACTTCACTCTGTATGACAGACTCTAGGTCCATCCACCTCACTACAAATAACTCAATTTCGTTTTTTTTTATGGCTGAGTAATATTCCATTGTATATATATACCACATCTTCTTTATCCATTCGTCTGTCGATGGGCGTTTAGGTTGCTTCCATGACCTGGCTATTGTAAATAGAGCTGCAACGAACATTGTGGTGCATGACTCGTTTTGAATTATGGTTTTCTCTGGGTATATGCCCAGTAGTGGGATTGCTGGGTCGTATGGTAGCTCTATTTTTAGCTTTTTAAGGAACCTCCACACTGTTCTCCATAGTGGCTGTATCAGCTTACATTCCCACCAACAGTGCAAGAGGGTTCCCTTTTCTCCACACCCTCTCTAGCATTTATTGTTTGTGGATGTTTTGATGATGGCCATTCTGACCGGTGTGAGGTGATACCTCATTGTAGTTCTGATTTGCATTTCTCTGATGATTAGTGATGCTGAGCATCCTTTCATGTGTTTGTTGTCAATCTGTATATCTTCTTTGGAGAAATGTCTATTTAGGTCTTCTGCCCATTTTTGGATTGGGTTTTTTGTTTTTTTGATATTGAGCTGCATGAGGGGCTTGTAAATTTTGGAGATTAATCCTTTGTCAGTTGCTTCATCTGCAAATATTTTCTCCCATTCTGAGGGTTGTCTTTTCGTCTTGTTTATGGTTTCCTTTGCTGTGCAAAAGCTTTTAAGGTTCATTAGGTCCCATTTGTTTATTTTTTGTTTTTATTTCCATTTCTCTAGGAGGTGCCGCCCTGTATACTTTAAATTCACCCCACTAGATAAGTACCATTCCTGTTTCTGAGGGAGCCAATTATGAACACTGAATGAATAAGTGTGCTCTAGTCACTGGAACATCTAATCAAATTTGCTCTGCTCATGGCAGATGCCAACTTCCCCTTCCCGCACATGTGTGATTCCTCAAGATTATGAATCACAAATATAAAACAGATTTTTTCAAATAATAATTAGAATGAATTCATTTTTGTAACAGAATTCCCCTTGCCAGTTTGCTGATAATGATGTACTCTATCAGTCAAATGAGATTAGTCAAGTATTCCATTTCCCAAAAAAACCTAGCATAGGGGTTCAGCAAAAGCAGTGTCTGAATTTGTTTCATTTTGAAGATACATCTACTGGTAGCTGTTTAGGTTTCAGATTAAATCTAATATTGCAGACAATCTAATCTTTAGTATTCTTACACCTGCTACCCTTAGCAGATGTAAGGGTTTTTTTGTTGATACTTGATTCAAATAAAAATTGCCTCTTTATCATTTGTGTCATAGGAGAGAGAATGATTTTGCACTTAGAAATTAAAATTTTCAGGCGCTTGTATCATTGTAAGTCATGTATTTGTCAATGGCTTTGTCTCACATTCATATCTTAGCTCAACATGGGAACTTCCCCTTCTAAATTACCCCTCCCTCTCCATCACCTACTATCGTGTCTTCCTACTACCTCTTAGCATTTATCACTATCTGAAAATATCTTGTTCATTTATCTGTTTACTTGCTTATGGTCTATCTCCCTCAACAACACCCTCACATACACTATAGTGTAAGCTCCATGAGGGAAGGAACCTTGTGTTTTGTGTATACAGCAAAACCCCAGTGCCCAACACTAAATGGATATGTCATAAATGGTTACTGAGTGAATGAATGAAAGTATATAAAGTTCATAGTACACAG